CCCTGGCGTGGGTAGGACCAGCATCAGGAGTCAGCTGGGTCGGAGTGCTGGATGCAGGCCATTCTCTTTGCTGCCTCGATGTCACTTACCCGAGTTTCAGGAAAGGTTTGGCAGATAGGAAATGCTTAAAAACTTCCAGGCTTCACCCCTACTCCAAAACCCGGGCTAGATCTGGGGCAGCCAGCAAGGCTTGGCGTAGGGAGTCTGTGGGCCTGCACACTTGGCTTGAGACTGGCTCCAGGGAGCCCCGCCAGAGCCCACGTGACCCAGTGTAGTTCTGAGAGTCTCCGGGATGGAGAATGTGCTGGGCCTAGCATGTTGGTTTGGGAGGAGAGGCTTTCTCAGGGGAACCTTGTGTCCCAGCCTTTATCCTATCGTGTGCCCCATCCGTCAGGCGAGTCTGTCCACCTTTTCCTGGATGCCAACAGAAACTGCCCCACGTAACAAGTGTGGGAGTCAGGCTGCAGCCCCTCCCACAGTCAGAGCTGGGAGGGCCACCTCCCTCATCTACAGACAGCAGAGCTGGGGCTCAGAGGGGAGGACAGTTCCTAGCAGTAGGACATGGGACAAGTTTCTTAACTCCCTCTCGCTAGGATGAAGAACAGCGCCTGCTCTGTAGGGCAGGCGTGAGGGTTTCATGCAATGGTGCAATGCTTACTACAGAGACAGATGGGTGCTACCTGCCTGAGAACAGCCCAGCAGGAGGCCAAGAGGTGGCTCCAGGGCATCCAGCAGTGAGGGCAGGTGCAGGGCCTTGCTCACAAACCCAGTGGTTAAGTAGACCCCAGGGGCCTCCCGAGAACTGAACAGAGACTCCCCAGAGAAAGCAGCTAGAGGCTGAAGACCAAGAGCAGAGTACAGGGTAGTTAGTTCCCCGTCCGTTCAGCTGGACCTTGGCCTTCATCTAGTTGGGCCAGCAACCTGTGAGATCCCTAAGGTGAATTAATTTCCTCCAGCCCCTGCACACAGCCGGGCCCTAGCCAACTGCTAATGTCTTGCTGCACAAATGACCCAGCACTGCCAAGGGTGGCTCAGCCTGAGCGGCACCCATGGGGGGCTCAGACGGCGAGCCCAGCACACATCCCCTGTGTGGGGTTCCCCTCCCATTCCTGCCGTCTCCTGGCTCTGCACGAGGTGATTTGTCTTCACCACCCTGACCCCTTCTCCTCACAAGGCAGCAAAGGCCTCCCTTGTCTAGACAGGGACAGCTGTGGAGGAGAGAGGAGCCTGGCCTTGGGGCCTCATCGCCCTTCTCTTCCACAGTGGACTGGTTTCCTGTCTTCCGAGACCTGGTCAACATTGGCCTGAAAGCCTTTGCCTTCTGCGTGGCCACGTCACTCACTCTGCTCACCGTGGCCGCCGGCTGGCTCTTCTACCGGCCCCTGTGGGCCCTCTTCATCAGCTCCCTGGCCCTGGTGCCCCTCATCATAGCCCGGACGCGGGTGCCTGCCAAGAAGCTAGAGTGAAGCTGGAGCAGGCCCTGGCATCCGCCTGGCCTGTGCGAGCCTCTGACCTAGGTCCACACCAGAGCAGGCCCCCAGCTCGGCTTGGCCTCTGCACTCCCTGTTCTTCGCGAGCTGGCGTCCACCAGTTCCCCCCTTCCCCACCCCTGTTCTTGCCACTAAGCCGCTGTGGTGGGCAGAAGCAGCTCGCAGATGGGGCCCTAGCAAGCATTCTCCTGCTTCTTCCCTTCCCTTGGGACCGGGGGTGTGGCAGGTACGTGGTCCACTTCACTCACTCCAGAGACCCGCTGGGAGGGCTCAGCCCTACCACCGCCTGCGTCTTGTCCCTGAGGACAGGAGCCAGGGCTGTGCCACTGCCGTGGGCATCCATCGTCCACGCGGGGCCTTTACACACTGTTGCCAAGCAGTCCTGGGCTACCTGGCCCACTGAGCACACATCCTGCAGTGCGGGACACCCAAAGCAGTCTGTGGACAGAACACACTGCATGTGGCACCATGAGAAAGCTGACGTGGCTGGGCTGTGCACTCACCGCTCTGGTGGCATCTCCTGGGTGTGCAGACCGCCCAGGCCCTGCAAAGGCTTCTCTGTTATTTTGCAACTTCACTTCTTCATGTGCACTTTCTTACCCAAGAGGGACTTGTCTGAAATAAGATTTGAAAAAACCAAAGACTTCCAGAATCACTAGCGTTTCAGACTGTTACAGAAAACACCTTTTAACCTGTGAGCTCAAGTTCACCTGGAGCACAGACTGGCGTTAAGCTGGGGTGCAACTTCAGTGGTGCGGGGTCCCTGTGACACACATGATGTTATGGAGACAAGCTCTAGCAAAATGGCTGGTTTTCACTCTGGGAGACCGGAAGCTCACAGGGTGGAGCAAGCATCTCCTTTGATCCCTGCTACAGACACTATCTTCGCCTGAAGACAGCCATCGAAGGACATTGACTGGAAGCTTCGTGTAGGCGGGCTGCATCACAGGGGCCCCCAGCCGGCCGGAATCCAGAGCCAGAGGACTGAGGCTTGCATGCGATGCCCACGCCGCCCTCTGCACTTTCCACAGTGGGAGTGCTTGGACCCAGGCACCCGGCCTCAGAGGCTGCTTCCAGCTGGATTTTTGTGTTGCATCCACAGCTTTACTCCCCAATAAAATACACTCACACTCAACTCAGCTTCCAAGTTTCCCCAAATTTCCCAACGCTCTTAAGGATAAAGTATGCTGTAACCTTATCATCCCAAAAAGTCCTCTGTGCAGCCTTTACCCCGCTGATACCGGGAGTGGGTGCTTTAGCGACTGGTACTGGGGGCTGAATGAAAGGGGAGACCTTCTGAGCTGCTCTCGCGGTCCTGGGCTCTGGTCTGTAAATGGAGACCCTTTGTGTTAAAACAGCCAACCTCTGAGATGACTCACCTGGACTTAGCAGTGGTCACTGCTGCTTAGTACTGACCAACTTCATCAGATCTCTCAACTCTCAAAGGAGATTTTTGGAAAAGTTCTAACTAGAAGATGGCTAAATATACAACCTTTGGGGTCTGCTTTGTGCTTGGGTTTCCAATTTTTAATATGGATTTCACTGCCAATTACAGATGTTCTTAAAAAGCCAAATTTTTAGAATTTTAAGAGTTTGGAAAATCATTATTAAATCTGTATTACCTTTGTTATTTTTGATAAAATTTGGAATAAACTTATAGTATCTTTTGGTATAAGACCTTGCCACTTTTTTGGTCTTGGTGTTTTTTATGAGGCTTTTTTTTCCCTGAAATCTCTAATAAAAGAATTCAGCCAGAATTCATCAAAAACTATGGATTTTTAGAACTGAGTTCTAAGTAGCTTTTCAGTGGGTAAAGCTAGGTTTCAATTCTTTTAAAGAGGGCGACTCGATATTGCCAGCACTTAATAAAACTAACTTTGGCCTGATTTGAAGTGAATGACTCATGCTTCGCCCATCTTTAGAATGTGCTAGAAGAGGTGGAAGAGGCATGGTGCAGCAGAAACACGAAAGGCATCATGGGTTCTGCTGGCGTGCAGACCCAGGTTCCCAGTCCCATCTGCCCCTCACTGGCTGTGACACTAGGGATCAAAGGTCACAGAGCAGGCTTCCTGACCCAGGACACAGGGACAGTGCCTGGCAGGGCTGGCCTGCAGGGAACACAGCCACAACAGACGCACGGCTCCCACTTTCTCATTCAGTGCTTCCGGTCCCGTAGCAGGGCTAGTGCCCTTGGTCACAAGCAGGAGGGGTGGGAGCTTCCCCAAACCTGCTGGGTTTCATTTCACAGTGCCTCTTGCAGCTGCCTCTGCCTGGCTCCCTTCCCTACACATGGCAATGCTCTAGTGTCACTCACCTGTAGGAGGGCTGGGGATCTGCTGTAGGGAGTGTGGGACTGCGGTTTCTATAGCAACACCCATCTGTTTCTCAACCAGAGCAGTGCTGCCAGGCTCCTACCCCTGTGAGTCACAACCCAAGTGTTTTGTTTGTCTCCCTTGGATAAAAGGGGCCCTTTGTAAAATTCAGTGATCTCTGAGTTCCCAGCAGAAATCTGATCTCTCCTATAGTCCCAACATACACACAAATCACTGTCACGCAGGTGGTCTTAGCTGGTGGAAAATCTGAAAGAAAGAACGTAAAGCCAAGTCTTCGTAGATAAATGCTTTATTTCCTTCCTCAACTTGTTATAAAAGTTCTCTTTCCTGAGAGTCTGCGGGGGTGACACTCTGTAAGTTTATCCAGCGATGAATGAAATCCAGTTTCACACTGACCCACCTCTAGTGACAGTTCCCTAATTCTCGGGGTGGTTCCTTTCCATGCCTGAGTTCAGCTCCCGCACTGCGACTTCAGAGACAGACCCCGAGGGTGCCCAGGCAACGTGGGCGACCTGCATTCCTCCCTTAGGAGGTGTTGTCAGCAAGGCTGGCTCAGGGGTGAAGCAGAGGACCTGCAGCAAGAGGGTGGGGCGTCTGACAGACGGCTGCCGCCCTCCAGAAACTCCCAGTAGTTTCTATCAAAAAGCCAACCGCACAGGCAGAGGGGAAGAACAAGCTCAGAGCAGGAAGTGCCCCTCCTGGGGGGGGGGGGGGTAGATGTGACAAGGGCTGGGGCCCACCAGATTTGCATCCCGGCCTCCGTTCCGGCTCCTGTGCCGGCCCCTGGCCCCCGTCTGCGGTGCCCACAGCTTCTGTTTGCCTTCTCAGCAGAGAAGATACCTCCACCGAGGCCTGGCCACCCCCAGGGCAGGAGCAGGGCTGGCGGGGGCCCACAGGTCACGGCTTCTCAAAGAGGCCTGGCCACCCCCCCACCGGGGGCAGGAGCAGGGCTGGCGGGGCCGCAGGTCACAGCTTCTCAAATGGAAACAGGTGGGAAGCCTCTGCCTTCTTTCCCCTCTTGCTCTTCTTGGTGCACTGGGGCTTCTGCTCTTCTTCAGCTGCTCGGTTCTGAGGCCAGGAGGCAGCCAGGATCCTGGCCGCTTCTGCTTGAGAGCTGGTCCCCTCCTCTTCATCAGAAGAAAGGCCACCTCTGGCATCCGAGCGGGGGGCTCCCGCCTCGCTCTGAAGTGGGGAATGGCGGAGGGGGCACAGGCTGCGGTTAGTGAGCACGTCCCAGGGAACACCGCCCAGAGGCAGTAGAGCTGCCAGCCGCCTGCCTGACAGGGCTGTTGGGAGGGGCTGGGGAGCCCAGACCTCACTGTGCCTTGCTCACTCCAGCAGGGACTTGGGGACGTGGCAGGAGCAGTGCTGGGGACACACGAGCACATCCAGGGTAACCGGGCCTGCGGCTGCGTTGTCACCTCACTTCTGGACAGACTGCACTAGGCTCTGAATTTCCCAGACGCCCAGCACCACGCCCAGTCCCACAAGATCGCAGGCAGCACTCCCTGGAGCCTGGGGCGGGGCCGCGGAAATCTGGCTGGAGGTGGGGACAGCGTGTGGGTGGCGAGAAGCCAGGGAGGACATAAAGCCAGGTAAGGGGGTAGAGGGAGGGAGTCCAGTGAGGAGCAGGACAAAAAGGTTTTTTACAGGCCCACAGGCAGCACGTAGAGGAACCAATCATCCCAGAGCGCACTTCTGCTGTCTCACACAGCACTGATCGCACCAGGTAACTGCTCAGGGTCTGCCTGCCCCCAGGAGGGATCCCCCCGAGGGCTGCCTGTCAATTCTGCACCTGTGCACAGCCGGGCCAGGCACGGCACAGGTGCCGCAAGAGCACCTCCAGGGCTGAAGGGTGGTGCGGGCCCAGGGAATGCCGAGTGATGCCCAGGACGCACGGCCTCCCTCCCTCTGAGGTGCAGAGCAGAAACCAGACTCCTGGCAAGCACTCGTGTGCGTGGGGGAGGGAGCTTGGGAGCTGGAGGAGGCAGCTGCGGCCCGACTCCAGGAAAACACAGGGCGTCTTAACAAGGCTGTCTGCAGCTGGATGTGTGCACAGGGTAACTGCTGCAGCTCTAGAATAGACCCCAGGTCGGTCGCCTCCGCCGAGGGCCCACACTCACCTTGGCCCCATAGCGAAGCCTCAGCCTCTCCCTGATGAGCAGTCCTTTGGCCAGCAGCTTCCAGTTCCCGAGAGCCCGCTTCTCCTTTTTCTGCGAGACACAGCCATTTTTAGGAAAAACAAGAAAATGGGTGAAGAAAGGTTGAGTGTCTGGGGTGAGAGACACAAACTCTCAGTCACCCTAAGCCTCGTTTTCAACTGGTCTGATCTGGAGAGGGAAACCCCTGAGAGCCACCACAACCCCAAAATGCTTTTAAGGCTTGGCTCTGAAGTCTGCAGCCAAAGAGGCCGTGCAGACCCTGGACCTCAGGCAACGCCTTCCAAGACAGGGGCAGGTGCTAGAGCCGGGACCCAGGCCCAGTGTGGACAGTGGCAGGAGCCTGTGACCCAGTGCTTGCACCCTAGGGCCTCTCGCCCAAGGTCTGAGAGCCAGAGCAGCTCCAGGCCACGTGGACTCTTCCCCTCCCGTCCCCCATGCAGCTGTGGGCTTACCCCGCACCCTGCCCCTTCCACCCTGCCCCACACACACCACTCACCTCCTTTTCCTTCTTCTCAATGAGTGCCTGCTCATTCTCCCAGGCAGCCAGGAGCACGTCCTTGAACTCCTCACATACCACATACCCTTCAGTGCTGTGGGGATGCGACACCACGACCCTAAGCTTGCTGCTGACTTGAGCCTTTGCTCCCCCATTCCTTCTACAGAGGACAGCGGGCCACCTTGGCGCCCTCAGGGCCCAGGGGCAGGCAGCCCCCATGCAGCAGCGGGCCTGCGGACACTGGCTCCCCAGCTTCCTCCCAGCCCCGCCCCCAGGTAGCCTGTGCCCCACAGCAGGAGCTCCCTGGCAGGGCAGCTGCTGGGGAAGAGGAGCCTGGGACTATCCCAGCAAACTGCTTCACTCCAGCCTTTTTTTTGTTTTGTTTTTTGACAGGCAGAGTGGACAGTGAGAGAGAGAGACAGAGAGAAAGGTCTTCCTTTGCCGTTGGTTCACCCTCCAATGGCCGCCGCGGCCAGCGCGCTGTGGCTGGCACACCGTGCCTATCCGATGGCAGGAGCCAGGTACTTCTCCTGGTCTCCCATGGGGTGCAGGGCCCAAGCACTTGGGCCATCCTCCACTGCACTGCCGGGCCACAGCAGAGAGCTGGCCTGGAAAGGGGCAACCGGGACAGAATCCGGCGCCCCGACCAGGACTAGAACCCGGTGTGCTGGCGCCGCAGGTGGAGGATTAGCCTAGTGAGCCATGGCGCTGGCCCTCACTCCAGCCTCTGAATGCTGGTTTCACTGGTCTGCTGCTCCAGGCAAAAGCCACAACTGGTGGAGTTTGCAAATACAGCCTACAATGTTCGCAAATAGACTCAGCCCCCAAGAGCTCCACAAACCCCCATCCCTCACGCACACGGGATGACAGTAGCCTCCATGGAAGTCAAAGCCAGTGACGGCCTGGACACAGTCAATGTCCAGCTTCCGGGCCACGCGCTGTAGATTGGGCAGGTTCAGCTGGACACAGCCGATGGGCATCATGCTGGGCAGGAAGAGGTACACGTTCCCGAACTCGTTCCGGGGCACCTGGGGAGGGGGCACACCAAGACTCAGCCTGCAGGGTACACAGCAGCCGGGCCCTCACCCCTTCACTGCTGCCCTTACCTTCCCGTCCACGGCCACCGGAGGCTGATACTCCTCTGTCTGCCAGTGGCCAAACAGGCCCAGGTCGTTTTGGTCGTGCAGCTGGGGCTCGGCGAGCCGGGCTTTCCGGGCACGGTTGGAAAAGCCTTTCACCATCTACCGGGAGGGGACAGCCCCGTCACAAGAGGCTCGCCGTCCTGGGCTGTGACCATCACACCAGGAGCACCTGCTACCTGACACAGCCCCTACAACCGGCCAGGAGACGGCTGTGCTCTCCGTCCCTTTTACAGCTCCCACCGCCCGGCAACGTTTACAGAGCTCCCAACCGTCCTGGGTCCTGCGCTCAGGGCTTCAGGTGTTAGCCACCCTGCGGGTTCAACCTTTTCAAGAAACCACCAAGCAGAGTCCTATTTCATCTCCATTCCAAACGAGCAGCCTCAGAGGGGAGACACCTACAGCCATGCAGCTGTGCAGGCCTCAGGCCGTGCTTCCCCCACACCTCCTCCACTGACACACACAGGGACACACAGAGGGGATGGCAGGGCTGGTGTGGCGCTACAGCAAGGACTGAGACTGGGGTGGGAAACGCCTGGTCTGGCCCTGCCAAGGCAACCACAGGCAGAACTCCAAGTTCAGCAAACCCACGGCAGGCTAACTTCTCAGTTGATAATTTGGTTTTGGCCCACAGATGACGTCAGGAATATCCAAATGGCCCTTGGAAGAAACAAGGTTCCCCGGCCCTGATTTAGACCAAGACAGCCGTCTTCCTGCAGAGCCCGTGCCACCTCCCACGTCCTGGGCGGCGCTGACAGGTCAGGAGCCCTGGCACACTTCCCAACCATCGGGCCAAGGCCTCGATTTTCCCTGGTGAGTCAGGGGGAGGAACAGAGGACTGGCGAGGAAGAGGTGGTGGCGTGGCACAGACATGGGGCTGCGGATTGGCTCGTGGGCCCGGGTGAACAAAATCCCTCTAGGGCAGGGGTCAGGGTCCCAGCTGGCCTCCGCTGCAGTTTTTCTCCTTTGCCCCAAGTCTTTACAAATGGGAATACCATCCTGAGAACCAGCGCCCAGCACACAGGCCCAGGCTGGGTGAGACTGGCACACTGCAGTTTGCTGCCGTCTGCTCAGGCGTCCGTGTCTGCCCAGGGCTCTGGGTCCCAACGGTGCCTTTCAGAGAAGCCGTTCCTTCTGCACTGTCCAGTAAGCACCACTGAGCACGGCTCACAGATCAGCCTGTGACGTGAGTCCCGATGACAGAGAAGGCACGGACAGCCACCGCCGCAAGCAGAGTGCAGGGCGAAAGGGAGCTCGGAGAACAGAGAAGGCAAGGGAAGTCTGCTCGGAACAGCTCACGCCAGGCTGAGTGCAGTCGGCCGAGGACAGGGCTGGGAGCAAAGAAGCAGAACTTGTCCTGGAGGCAGCATGGTGTGGAGGAGGGGCCTCTAGACCATAGGTGACAGGCAGCTAGGGCCAGCCGAGGACAGCTCAGCAGGGCACTGGGTTTCAGCAAGACCCATGGCTGCCACGCGGGGAGTGGACAAGGCCGTGGCTATCACTCAGTCACAAGCGGCTGAGGGAGGAGCTGGGACAGCGGCCATCAGGACAACGGTGGACCCGAAGGATTTGCAGTTCTTCTAGACCTGGGCTAAGAGGACAGCCACCAGTCACACGTCACCACTGAACACTTGAAATGGGCTCGTCTGGGATCAGCACCATGCAGGGAACCTGCTACCTGGGCACCCACAGCACACGGCTGACGATATGCGCATGGGGTTCGGGGCTGGGGTGCAGCTCTCGCCCGGCAGCAGCCCAGGGGAGGCAGAGGGCAGAGCCACCAGCCCTGGGGTTCCTCTGCAGAACAGCATGGGAGATGCCAAAGCAGGCTCAGTGCCACACAGTGGGCAAAGGTGGAAAACACAAGACAGGTCCACATCTCTGGAGTCTTTGGCCAAAAAACAGGACAAGCACAAGGATTTCCTTATTCTGATGCAACCACAAAGGTGTTCTCTGGGGAGAAGACACTCTGACGAAATATTTGGAGAACCCAAGGAGATACACCCCTGGAACTAAAATGGTCTTTGCTGTTCTTAAAAAGTATAGTGGCAGCCGGTGCTGTGGTACAGCAGATAAAGCTGCCACCTACAGTGCCGGCATCCCATGTGGGCACGGGTTCAAGACCTGGCTGCTCCACTTCTGATCCAGCTCTCTGCTATGACCTCAGAAAGCAGTGGAAGATGGCCCAAGTGCTTGGGCCCCAGCACCTGCATGGGAGACCTGGAAGAAGTTCCTGGCTCCAACTGTTGCAGCCATCTGGGGAGTGAAGCTGCAGATGGAAGACCTCTCTCTCTCTCTCTCTGCCTCAGCCTCTCTGTAACTCTGCCTTTCAAATACAATAAATAAAGTCAGAGAGAAGAGCTTATTCAATATTTGAAACAGGCCATATCTTTTTGAAATGCTATTGCAGCTTCAAAATAATAGTTATAAGCCAGAAATCTTCAACTGAATCTTTTTAGAAGAAAACAAACAAACAAACAAACAAACAAACGGGGGCCGGCACTGCGGTGTGGTGTGGCAGGTTTAGCCACCAGCCTGCAGCGCCAGCATCCCATACAGGCTCTAGTTTAACCTGTGGCTGCTCCACTTCTGATCGAGCTCCTGCTAATGGCCTGAGAAAGCAGTGAACCCCTGCACCCATGTGGGAAGAGAGGAAGAAGCTCCAGGCTCCTGGCTTCAGCCTAGGCCAGCCTGGGCCATTGTGGCCATCTGGGGAGTGAACCAGCAGATAGAAGATCGACCTCTCTGTCTCTCCTTCTTTCTCTATAATTCTGCCTTTCAAATAATTTTTTAAATTAAAAAAAAAAAGGAAAAAAAAAAAAAGAAATGAGCTAGCCTGAACTGGGGAAGGAACTGAAAGTCAAATCCACACAAGAGTCAAAAACAAATTTAAAATATCTTACCAACATCTTAACCTATTTCTTACAGGTTGGTATTTTATACTGACTTGAACATATCTAAATATTAAAATCCCATTGGTTTTTAAAAAATGTATCTGAAAGCAATGAGATGGACATGTGGACACAGAGAGATCTTCCATCCACCAGTCCATTCCTCAAATGCCTGCTGCAGTCAGAGCCGTTGCATGGTGCCCTGGCAGCCCCTTCCCACCACACTGAGGCTCCTCCTCCTCCCACCCAACTCCCCAGACCCCCACACCCCTGGCCTGAGGGACGTGATACAGAGAAATACACACACCTCTGTGACCGCCACCGTGCTGGGCTCTGTGGCCATGAAAAGGACGTAACTCTGCCAGGCACAGTTCTCCAGACCGAACCGTGCCACAGTGCAGTGTGTGAGAAAGGGAGGCAGAGAGGGCTTGGCTTCCCGCCTGCACTTCACCCCCCACCTCTAACACCTAGGACAGGATGTTTCTCCTTTCTCATCTGTAAACAGGGCATTGTAATGCCAATCTCCAGGTTGCCAAGGCTGAACACAGCCCCAGCGAACAGTCAGAATGAAGGGAAACTTGGCAGGTAGAGGTCCCCTGTGTAAACCAGGGCTTCAGCCACTTAGAACCCTGCACCAATTCTGATCTGCACGGCCTCCGAGCTCACAACAGCAGTCCAAGGGCTACTTTCTGGGCCACATTTCTGTGTTTTAGAAAACCTATGTCTGATAATTCCTCAGTAATAATGTAAATGCTTATCTCTTTCTCAAATCCTGCCCAGGCCAGAGAACTGGAGCATCTCCAGACTCCTACCCAGGGCATCCTCTGCGTAGCCCCTCGACCTCAGCCCTTTGCCCCCTCCCCCGCAGGTGCCTTCCCAGCTCCATTACCTTGTAGGGCACTTCTCCAAGCCTCACCACTCGCGCCTGCTTCAGCCACGTGTCCCTGGAATGCAGAGTATGCACACAATCCCTACAGGAGGTGACACGGGGAGAAAAGCCCATATTCAGTGCACAGCCCTCTGCGGGAACCCGGGGTCTCCCAGGACTTGGAGGAGGAAGAGCGCGGCCTTGCTGGTTCTCCAGGCCGTCTTGTGCCCCAAGGCGCCCACAGAAGCTGCCTCAGTCAAACAGCCTCCCCCACTGGGCAATGTATGGGGCTCCTCTGTCTGAGGCTCCAAGCTTGGCCTCCACTGGCCCAGCCCTGCTGTGCAGAGTCACAGTGAGAGCTCCCCCTGCAGCCTGGGGAGCAAGGGAAAGCCACAGCGGCCAAGTGCAAGCCTGACCCCCACAGGGCTCTCTTCCAGCCAGGCCTTCTCCGCAGGGCACGTCTGTGTCTTCCTCAGTCTGTACCTGTGCCCACTGTCCAGAGACAGCGGCTCCACCAGCAAGGGCATCGGCTCTCCTCCTGGCACAGACACCAGGCAGCCCGAGGCACGGTGGACGTGGGCCCATCTGCTGTGCCACTTGCCGGCTGGCTGACCTGGACAAGGCGCTTGCCCTTCCTGGGCCTCAGCGTCTGCATTTCCCTACCAGGAGAGTCACGAGCTGTGTTTTCCATCTCCCAAGGCGGCCAGGAGGAGCTGACACTGGCACAACACCGGGCTGGTGCTTCTCCGCCACAGCCCGAGTGCACCACCCCACACTCCCACTAGGGGGCGAACCCCTCTGACTGCCTAACTGATGTCCTGGTCACGGTCTTCAGACGGGGGTGGGGAAGGCAGGGGTCAGAGGGGCTGACAGGTGGGCAGCTCCTGGACATTCCTAGGGGAAACAGCAGTGGGTGGACACAGCCTCCCAGTAAATGTCAACTTCTAACACTCCACACCCATTAGAATGCTTAACACCAAAAGCAGAGTCACACGTGCTGGCAAGGAGGATGTAGAGGAATGTGACCCGTTGTGTTCTGGTGGGGACGCAGAATGGCGTAGCCCCTGGAGACGGAGCACAAAGCCCCTCACTTTCAGGGATCTGTCGTCTGACCAGCAACTCCACCTTTCAGATGTGCCCAAAGAACGGAAAGCAGGGTGGCAAAGGGCCATCTGCACACCCGCGGTCATAGCAGTCCCCGTGTCCACTGACAGGTGAGGGAGAAACCAGTGTGGCCCATCAGGGGAACCCAATTCAGCCTCAAAAAGGAGCTGCAAGGACACAGGTGGCCACGGCATGCTCATGAGACACGCCAGGCACCATGGGCTAGGAACTCCCTGCACGCCCAAGCCCGTGGGCTTCCGGCGTGGTTAAGGTCAGAGACAGGAAGCAGAGGGCTGGCTGTGAGTAGTCTGCGCTGAGCAGGTGGTTTCAGGCTGGGAAGTTACCAGACGGTTAAAATGACAAACTGTGCTGCGCGTACTCAACCGCAATCTTAAATGCACGTCCACCTTCTAAAGCTCTCTGCTGTCACGGACCTGGCACCTGGCCACGACACCAGCTGGAGGCCCAGGCCGCTTAGTCTTTGGCTGCTGTGTCCTGATGTCCCAGGGCAGGAAAGCCCGGCCCTGGACCAGGAGTGGACCAGGAAGCACACATGGGTGAAGTCAGAAAGACTGCCCAGTGCAACTCGGACAGGCACTGACGGTGCCGACAGGATTCCAACCCCCACTGCGTGTGCGCTGCGCTGAGCCCCTACACATCTCTTCCTTTTCTGTGCCTTGTGCCACTATGCTATTTATGGAAAATGTCCCATTTCTTGGTCTTGTATTTCAGGATTGTTAAAAAGCATTTCTTTTATTTGCTTTCTAGTGACATTTCTCTAAAATTCCAGCTTCTATTTTTGGTTTTTGCCACTTTTTTCAGTTTTAATTCTGCATATATTTTGCACTTGTTTCTGAATGAGGGCACTCTGTTTGTTTTCACTGCGGTATAAAATACACCATTTCATCCGCTGCTAAGTGTACAGTTCAGGAGCGTTAGGGACACGCACAAAGCTGTGCACCCAGCACCACCACCCCTCCCCATAATTCCTCACCCTCCCAAACAGGACTCAGAACCCAGGAAAACAACCACTCACTTCACTGTCCCTGTCTGCATCCTCTACACCTTCCTTCCACGTGCCTGTAACTTCTATTCAAAGGGCGTGTTTTTTACTGTCCTATCTTAAATCTGATGTGTTCTACTCTTTAATCTCCCCTAAAAGCTCTTCCCCCTCGCCCATCAATCCTGTTAATCTGCGAGCATGTGCACACACTGCAGGTCATCGCGAGAACGCAGTGATGAACGTGGAGCAATGCGATGAGTTTACATCACAGCTGCTGCCCAGCAGGCAGCCCCAGGCCACCGTGCGGCCCCACGCACCTGGAGTAGACGGCCTCGCCGCGACAGTAGCCGAGGATGGCAGCCGTCTCGGGGTAGATGGCCTCGTACTTGAGGAGGTGCCGCTTCAGGGCATACAGAGGGTGGTTCTTGTACGTGCCAATGGAGGTGGGCAAGGGCTGATCCAGGTGCTTTGCCTGAAACTGCAAGGAACAGGAAGTGAGGCGGGAGGGTTCTGAGAGAGGCCGCGCCAAGGTCTCCCAGGCACCCACGACTGTGTAACGGCGCATCACTGGCTCTGGCCGTGAAGCAGGTTTTGGAGCAGCTTTGGAAAGCTAGGACGAACCACGTTGTGGTGTGGCCGTGGCACCACCTGAACGTCCCTGACCTATCGCAATCCTCAGGCTGTGCTTTGCCGTGAGAGACCTTGACGGCAGGCAGCTTCCTGCAGGAAGGCCGGCCCCCTGAGCCGCAGCCCTCCCACCCTGGTCCTCCAGCACCGCAGCGTGAGGGCCACACCTGCAGGCTTCCTGCCGGGCCGCTCAGCAGCCAGCTCCTCGGCTGCACCGGCATCCTGTTCACCACGCGCTCTGCAGCTTTCCACACAGATTTCCACGGCAAGAGCGGGAGAGGACTCTGCAGCTGTTCGGCTCCCAGGGAAGCCTGACTCAGGCTGTTCCAACACCAGCCGCACACCTCCCACCCCCACCACTGCACAGCAGCTCTCGCACAGCGGAAGTGTGCTGCTGGACGCACAGCTGAGCCCACCCTTCCTTTCCCCATCCTGAGCGCCTGCACGTCTGCCTCTGGCCACCACGGGCACATCCCCACGCACAACCACTGCCAGGCCCCAGCCACCACGGCCACAGGCAGCTCCGGCTTTCTTCCGGGGGTCAGGGCTCATCCTAAGACCAAGTAATACAGCTGCGTTAGGTTTTCTAAGTCTGCTTCCCAGTGTGCTTCTCCACAGACTGAAACTATTTCCTCGTCCCGAATCCCTTCCTCTACATGAGACAACCGGTCTGCACGTGTGAGCTGTATCCATGTATGTGTGTGCACAGCTAACAGGAAACAGGAAGAACACATTTTTGAGTTACTCCTTTTTTTTCCTCAATGTGTCTTACAAATTGCATAAATTATTTTAAAGCCTCAAACTTACAGCCAGACAACAACCAGAAATATAAAATTCAAAACCACATAGACCTGGGTTCAAACCCCTCGTCGGTCACTCTCACTTCTGCAACCTCCTGCCTGTTAAGGCCGTAATAACCCCAGCTTTGCAGCCATTGTGACAATTACATGATGTAGTGCTGGGAATACCCAGGGTTCTTCAGAAAGTTCGTGGAAAATGTACTTAGAAAAACAAAAGTTCATGGAACATGCATATCATGAAAAAATTACACATGGATTTCAATATGTGCATCAAAACAAACCCATCTTTTAATTCCATTTTTTCCATAAACTTTTTGAAGTACCCTTGTATAAGGTGCTAAAAATGGGAATCATTTTAACAAACTGATTGGGCGTCGGAGCCCCTGGCAGCCGAGGCCTTACCTCCGAGTCTTCTTTCTTCTGCCTTTCCACAAACGGGCTCTGGTACGGTCGCAAGGTCTGGGCCCACCACTCGGCATCAACCCGGCACTTGCGGGTTGCCGTCATCCAGGCCGGGTCATACCTCTGGGTGAC